GGTCAAATGGCTTTTGAGAGTGGTGTGATACTCTTGGCTATCGCTGCAGAGCCATCCACCTATGAGAAAGTTTACAGAAAAAAAAGCTGCCCTAGAACAACAGGGCATTTTATCACTGAAAGCCTAGACTTCTACAAATTGACACCTCTATTCCATTTACTTCCTGCATTCTTTATTTTGCACAAGTGGAAACATTTGTTTTGAAACTGTATTTGATTGTTGGGCTGTTTCTTTCTTCCTCCCTTCCCTCCTTCCTTCCAGATTCGCCCTGAGCTAACATCTGTTGCCAATCTTCCTCTTTTTGCTTGAGGAAGTTTGTCCCTGAGCTAACATCTGTACCACTCCTCCTCTATTTTGTATGTGGGATGCTGTAACAGTATGGCTTGATGAGCGGTGTGTAGGTCTGTGCACAGGATCTGAACCTGCGAACCCCCAGCTGCGCGGCCAAAGCAGAGTATGAGAACTTAACCACTACACCACCGGGCCAGCCCTGGGCTGTGTTTCTTAAGTGGAAATATCTATTTGGATTATAAACATGGCACTGTAAACTAGTGTTCACTATAAGTTTTTGTCAATTTGAGTCAATGTATAAAGCAACTGAATTCATTGTCTCACGCAAGCCCACCCAACCGTCTTCCACAATTCCCATACCTGTGAAGGGCACCAGGTCTGCTGACTGCTGAAGCCAGACTCTTGATTGTCAATTTCAGCCTCTCTCTCCCATGTTCCCATCCTATGTCTAATCAGTTATCAAGTGACATATCTTCTGTTTCTCAAACATCGTTCCAGTCTCCCTCTCTCCATCCCATCTGCCCTATATTCAGTCATACCACAGCCCACGATGGCCTCAGGACTGGACTCTGCCTCCAATTGGACCCATCTACAATGCACTCTCTCCTTTTGTTATTTGAGTAGTTTGTCAGAAAATGAAAATCTGACATCCACTTCCCTGTTGAAATGCTTTGATGTCTCTCCGTTGCTCTTCGAATTAAGTCCAAACTCCATGACCTTGTTTGTAAGACCCACTGGGATATGAATCCACCTCTCTACTTCTTCATCACTAGTCTATCACTATCCTCTTCTCAAATTCTATCTCAAACAAAATAAACTCTTTCAGCTCCTTGAATATGCTTTGAGGTCTCTCACTTATAAGTCTTTACACACGCTCTTGCCTCTGCCTGGAACATTATTGCTTAGTCTTGATTGCTTGCTTTTCTCAAAAGCCAAGTTCAAGCCCTGACCTGATGTCAGTTTTTGATTAAAAATGTTGATTTTGGCTTTGCTTTTTATATTAACAGTGATAAACTCCATAATTCCTTACAGCTTACAGAATGATATTTGCTTCCCCCATGGGGATTCAAAGTAATTTTTAATGTAATATATCTGACAAGGAAAACATGGCAAATTCAGTACTCTATCATTACCACCAAGAATAAAGATGGTGGAACAGATGTTAATCAGCTATATTAATTGGCCATACACTTCATTGCTACTCAAGTATTTCTTGGTGGTTACAGATAAGCTGTAGACTCAGTTGACAAGGACTTTCCTAACTCTACCATATTTTTAAAAGCTATTAACATTTTGGCTTTGAACTTCTCTTTTTGTCTTTATGTCTAGGTTGCCAGGAACTGACAGACCATTTTGTCTAATAATAACAGTACTTGGATCTTATGATGAATTTGCAGAAAATCACTTGTGAAAGTGGCTGCTTAAAAACACAGTGACACAAATGCATGCAATTGAAATTAATCAAAAATATCTCTGAATAAACATTATGCTCAAAGCCCTGTGTTAAGTCTGTGGAAAACACAGATAAGCTCATAATTTACATCAAAGTTTACAGGATGACCAACCATCCCTGTTTGCCCACATCTTGGGGAATTGTGGGAGGAGGGGAGTGGTTCTGAGATGCAGGACTTTCAGTGGTCAAACTGGGATGAGTTGATCGCTCTAGCTACATATCAGAATATAGGTTCATAGTATGAGTTGTTTTATAGAAAGTACCACGTAATTAGCTTTAAAAAATGCTTGGAACAGGTGGGCAAAGAAAATATATCAAGACACTCACAAGCCAGGAAAATAGTGTGATCAAAGACAATGATGTGGTGTGAAACGTTGAACAGTGTCTCAAGAATTAGATTGCCTGGGCTTGAAGACAAGTGTTAAGTCAGGAGGCCGGAAAATCAAGAAGAGGCCAAATTTGAACACCCTCCAAGCTCCAAGTCTGGGGTGGCCAGACCTTATTCTCTAAGTGCTGGAGTGCTAGTTTTGGACAAGTTTGACCAAAATTACGATATAATAAAAATGATATTTTGGGGGCTGGCCCCGTGGCCGAGTGGTTAAGTTTGTACTCTCCGCTCTGGCAGCCCAGGGTTCGCAGTTTCAGATCCTGGACAGGGACCTACACACCACTCATCAAGCCATGCTGTGGTGGCATCGCACACAGAAGAACTAGAATGACTTGCAACTAGGATGTACAACTATGTACTGGGGCTTTGGGGAGAAAAAAAGAAGGAAAAGAAAGAGGAAGATTGGCAACAGATGTTAGCTCAGGGCCAATCTTCCTCACCAGAAAAAGAGTAAACGATGTTTTGGAGGAGTAGTCTAATAAGCCCTATTTTGATCCTTCATTTTTAAGAGAATGGAGAAATCAGTTGGAAATTTTGTTCATCCAGAGATAACATCATTGCAGCCCTTGTTTTATATTTTGTAAACAAAAGCAAGTATTCAGAAACTTGTGCTTCTTCAACAATTGGCAGTATGACAAGCTATACTGAAAACTACTAGTCTGTCGTTTTATGTTACACTGCTTTGTAAAAATACAGATTTACATATACAAAAAATTAGAAGGTTCTTTATTACATAAAAAGATATTTTTCTTTCTTAAATAGTGTTTAAAATAGTATTTTTAAATGGTCTTAAATATTATTTAATATATAATATAAACTACTTAGCTATGACTTCTCTGCTTAAGTGAGACCTACAGAGTCAGTAGCAGTTGGAGTGATGAAAAACTGAGGGAATTGTAGTCCAGGTAATGGAAATCCATGCAAAGACCCCGAGGCTAAGAGAGCATGGAAAAATTCAAGAAACTAAAGGAAGCTCTAGGTGACTAGAACATAGAAAGTAGGGTGGAGCTGTGATAAGTGAAGCTGAAGAGTGGTGGGATGATCCCAAAGGACATGTGAAACTAGTTAAGGATTTCAGACTTCTTTCTCATTGTTTACAGGGGGCTCCTAAGTGTTTTGGTTTTTTAAAAAAATATTTTATTGAGGTCGTAATGGTTTATAACATTGGGTAATTTCAAGTGTACATTATTATTTATCAGTCTCTATATAGATTGCGTCGTGTTCACCACCAAGAGTCTTTTTTTTTTGGTGAGGAAGATTGGCCCTGAGCTAACATCTGTTGCCAATCTTCTCTTTTTGCTTGAGGAAGACTCATACAACCTCCCAAAACTGACGTAAGAAGAAATAGAGAATCTGAATAGACCAATAACAAGTAAAGAGATTGAAACAGTAATCAAACCTCCCAGAAAACACAAATCCAGGACTAGACGGCTTCTCTGGAGAATTCTACCAAAATTTCAAAGAAGATTTAATACCTATCCTTCTCAAACTATTACAAAAAATTGAAGATGGAGAACACTTCCTAATACATTCTACAAGGCCAACATCACTCTGATACCAAAGCCAGACAAGGACAACACAAAGAAGGAAAATTACAGGCCAGTATTGCTGATGAGCACAGATGCAAAAATCCTTAACAAAATATTGGCAAACTGAATACAGCAATACATTAGATAGTAAATTTCTGTGACTTCAGTGTTGGTTTCTGGAGACTTGTCATTTTCCTTCTGCTCTGAAGTGTTACTGTAGTTTTTCATGGTGTTTGATGAACTCATCCTTTCCTGAGGCGTTTGGAGTAGTATCAGGTCACAGATTCCACCTGCTGCCTCTGGGGGGTGGGCAGGAACTATGTTTTCTGAACCCATGGCATCTCCTGGAAGTTGTGCTGATAGGGCTTGTCTACATTTGCCCACTGGCTGCAGCTGCTTGGAAACTCACACATGCATGCTCAGGCCCTCTGGTGCAAAACCACTGCCTTGGCCAGGGACTGGCTTAGCTGGCATGCTAGGCAGGAGGGGAGGGGTGCTTTCTTTTGTGCATGTGGCCCTGCTCGATGCTCACAGGCAGTTTGCCTGGGCTGCTGTGCTTGGTGGGGGCGCCCACACGGTGGCTGATCTGCACCACTCAGTGTAGAGTGTTCCTGTGGGCTGGGCTGCAACTCTGAAAGCTCAAGTGTTTGTGCTGCAGGCCGGCCTGACCCCCGTGTCCTCTTACAGTCATATGCAGCTGCTGTGTGAGGACCCACAGCCTAGATCACTGGTGCTGGGAAGGGGGAAGGGATCCACTCACCTCCTTTCACTGCTTCCCAGGGATCCAGTACCACCACCTTCAGATGTTTGGGTGCATGGATCTCTCAGGTGCCCTATTGTGCTTTGTAGGGAATCATCTGTTGGTTAATGAATGTCCATTTGATTGTAACTTAGGGCACAGAGACTAAGGGAACAACTCACTCCACCATGATGCTGACATCACCTCCTAAGTGTTTTACGCAGTGGAGTGGCACCATGTGCTAAGGCCAGAACCACTTCATTGGCTTGTGACCTATGCAGTTACACAGGGCCCAGTGTTATAGAGGGGCCCATGCTTGGCTTAATACTCTGTTATTGCCGTCTTGAACATCTTAGTAATTTTTGAATGGGGCCCCTACATTTTCATTTTTGGGTCTTGCCAGTTACCTAGCTGGTCCTGTCCAAGGTGCCAGGTAAACGGTCATAGTGAATTAATGTCTACTGAGAGTTGAGAGGACCATTTGTTCTGTTCACTGATTTTTTTTTAATCGTCTTTATTTTTTAGAGCAGTTTTAGGTTCACAGCAAAGTTGAGGAGAAGGTACAGAGATTTCCCATATACCTGCTGCCTCCACATATATATGCACAGCCTCCCCCAGTATCAAAATCCTGCACCAGAGTGGTATGTTTGTTATAATTGATGAACCTATGCTGACATATCATTATCACCCAAAGTCTATAGATTACATAAGGGTTCACTCTTGGTATTGTACGTTCTATGGTTTTTAAAAATGTATAATGACATGTATCCACCATTATAATATCATACAGAGTAGTTTCACTGCCCCACAAGTGCAGGGCCCTTTTCTTCGCCTGTTCATCCCTGCCGCATCCTTAACCCCTGGAAACCACTGATCCTTTTCCTGGCTCCATAGTTTTGCCTTTCCCAGAGTCTCCTATAGTTGGAATCCTATAGTGTGCAGCTTTTTCAGTTGGCTGCTTCTCGTAGATTTTTGTCCTTGTCCAGCTTCAGGTGATTCTACAGGCCATTTTGTAAGAGCCAAAGGTCACATTTCTATTCTTCCTGGAATAATCATTGGGACCAGGAGGTTTTGCAGGAGCAATCAACTTTAGAGGGTTAGAGGATAAATAAACACTCTGGTGGTCATGATCTTCCTGAGCAATCATGTGAAGAAAGCAGGGATGTGGGAATTTTTATTCTCATGTTTTCTTCAGGCATTTTTGTGTTTCCAGATTAGTGCCAGGTATCTTCAGAATTGCCAGATCTTATCAACTAACTAGTCATTCATTGCAAATCCTAAGGAAATAAACTTTTAGAAAGCAATTAGCCAATGAGATATAGTATATATTTATCCTTAGATCCTACACCTTAAAGATATTTTGCATGCCAAATTTTTGTACTTACAGATATCACTTCTGGGGTCTGACAAGAATTCAAGGTGCAAATATGCTCTAACAGAATGCTGGTTGGTGGTGAGGACCATCTTCCACCTAACCAGAAATTTACCAGAGGCTCTTCAAAGCCATGCTTCTCCTGCAGTGCAGTCCCCTGCACGAAAGTTTCCCTTGAGCTAATGACTCCTTGCTTTCTGTGCCATTTTGGACCTTAATTCTCTCTTCTTCAAAGAAAGCACCACATCTTTTTTGACTTTTCTATGAATTTTATGGAATGTCTCAGAAATACTGTCAAACTTTTATTGTTATGCACATGTGGATTATATCATTAATATACTATATTTTTGTATATATTCTGTACTGTGAATATTTTTTTTCTACAACATTTTGCTTTTTTTTCTGCGTATATAATTAAAACATGCTCGTTGCAGATGCTGCCAGGGCTTCGTCCATATTCTCTGGCATCCTTGTTCCATTTATTGAGCACACCGGCTCCTGGATGCTTTCACTCCCAACAGCCAGTACCTGTGTCTCTTCTTTGGAGGCCTAACCCTAAGCTGTGGGTCCCACCACTTAGCTGGCACACAAAGAACCACAAGTTCCTGGGAATTTACTCCTCTTGGCAGGTGAGTGGGGTGTGGTGGGGGCAGCCAATGACTGATTGGTGTTGTGCTGTGTGTGTGTGTGTGTGTGTGTGTGTGTGTGTGTGTGTTAAGGGGTGTTATAAATATTCCAGCTTCCTGATTGGATGACTCATATGGGACCCACAGTGTCTCCCCAACTCCCCCCACCCCTATGGATTGAACCATGGTTAACCTTCCTGAGATCTTCGCCTGAAACCACATCTTTGCTTGGCATCCTTACTTTCCTGGTCTCTCTTTCCCACTTTGCTTCTGGTTCATCCTGGAAACACTTTTTGTGAATCACTTTTACACAATTCTTCATCTCAGGTCTACCTTTGGGGAACCTAGTGTAAGAATTTGTTCATATAGAAAATTTGCAGATTCATTGTAACGTGTAAAAAAAGAACTGGAAAGAAATCACACATCATTCTCTCACCCCAAGACACCCACTCTCATATTTTTCTATGAATTAGAAAATTTTTTTAGGCATATCTTGCATATCGTATAATTGACCCTTTCAAGTATATATTTCAATGAGTTTTTAATAAATATGCTAAGTTGTCTATCTATCACCACAAATCAGTCTTAGAGCATTATCATTAACCCAAGAAGAACCATTGTACCCATTTAAATGACACTAATCATCATTTGCGTCCTTCCCAGCCTCTGGCAACCGCTAATCTATTTTCTTTCTCTATGGATTTACCCATTATGGAGGTTCCTACAAATGGTATCATAAAATATCTTGTGGTCTCTTGTGTCTACCTTAATTTAGCATAATGTTTTTGAGGTTCAGCCATATTGCAGCATGTATCATTCTTCATTCCTTTTTATTGCCAAATAACATTCTTTTGTATGGATATACCATCTTTTGTTTATCCATTCATCAGTTGGTGGACATTTGGGTTGTTTCCATTTTTTGAACTATCATGAATAAAGTTGTTATGAACATTCACGTGCAAGTCTTTGTTTGTCCGTATATTTTCAGTTCTCTTGGGTATATACCTAGGAGTGGAATTTCTGGGTCATATGGTAACTCTGTGTTTAAGTTTTTGAGGAACTGCCCAAATGTTTTGCAAATCAACTAGACCATTTCACAATCTATCAGTGTATGAGGGTTCTAGTTTCTCCACGTCCTTGCAAAGAATTATAATATAGTAATTGATCTCTGGGAGACTCTATCTTTGTGGAGTCGTGATCTAAATTTTCTCAAATCTGAATGGATTTTTTAAACCTCCTTCTTATCATTGCCATATATTTTTAAAATATCAGATCCCCATTCAGGGCCTCAGAACACACAAAGCCAGTATTATGTGTGTCTTCTCTTATTCTCTCTGTCTTCATGCTGCCTTTCTCTTTTCTCTCTCAGCTCCTCTGTTTCTTCCAAAGTAAGGCAGATTCTTAAAAGCATGCCTAATTAGTCTTGTCTTTTTTTTTCTTACTAACAGTGGCTGCCTGCGTTTTTAGATTTTAAAGAGAGCATTTTGAGTGTCTCTCATCACTGAGATAAGTTAACAGTTCACAGAGATCAAGGGGGACTTGAGAAGTGAGGGCAAAAGTTTTTGCAATGAGGTAAATTTTCTTCTGCAAGTCTCTTAATGAGATATCACCACATGAGTGGGCTGGTCTGGATTTTGTCACTCTCCTGTATCAACCTTTCCCTTCCAAACCAGCCTATCAGGTTCCTCATTAGATAATTTTGTTCCGACTCAGCATTTCGGCAGATAGTAACTAAACACCTTCTTTCCTTCACTCAGAAAAGCTCCCTGTTTTTATAGAAAACAAGAAGAGCTTGCTGAAATACTTCTCAAAGGCAGGCTTTCCAAGTAAGTATATTTTCCCAGGCTTTTTATAGTTTAATCTACTCACAGACTCCTAAAAACACAGCATGTCTCTTTCTATGCAGGCTTCTGCCTGATATCCATGCATGAGAAGCTCAAAAAATGGTTATAAAAGTTCTTCATTATTTAAAAGTGTAGTAGAACAAACCAGTATAAATTCCAGTGCAGCAGATGAATATACCTTATTATCCTACACACAGATATTGACAATAGGATTATAGATAAACAATAGAAAACAGGATTATTTTTTAATAACACCTTTATTGAGATATAATTAACATACCAAACTTTTACCCTTTTAAAGTCTACAAATCAGAGGTTTTTTAGTACATTCACAGAGCTGTATAACTATCATCACTCTCTAATTTTGGAACACTGTGTCCTTTAGCAGTGACACCTCATTCCTCTCATCCTCCTCAGCCCCAGGAAACCACTAATTTACTTTCTGTCTCTATGGATTTGCCTATTCTGGACATTTCATATGAATGGACTTGTACAATATGTGGTCTTTTGTGACTGACTTCTTTCATTTAGGATAATGTTTTCAAGATTCATCCGTGTTGTAGCATATGTCAGTACTTCATTTCCTTTTGTTTCTGAATAATCTTCCATTGTATGGAGATATCACATTTTGTTCATCCATTCATCATTTCACAGACAGTTGGGGTTATTTCTGCTTTTTTGGCCATTATGAACAATGCTGCTATGAACATTCATATACAAGTTTTTGTATGGACTTACGTTTTTACTTCCTTGGGTTTATACCTGTGAGTGGAATTGCTGGCTCACATGGTAACTCTATGTTTAAATTTTTGAGGAACTGGCAAACCATTTTGCAGAGCAGCTTCACTGTCTTGAACTCACAGTAATCATGGGAAGTGATGATTATCTACATTTGTGGATCAGGCAGTGGTGGTCCAGAGAGCTTAAAAATTTTGCCTAAACTAATAAACCAAAGCCATTATCTTCAAAATGTTGGGTCATCCCAGAAGTGAGGCCCTCTCAACTTCCTTTAAGAACGTCCAATAGAGATGGAAGGCAGGAACTTGGGACCTGGGTAATGGGTGGGTCTACCTCAAACTCTGAACATCTGAAGGGCAATTCCATAAATGGCAAAACACATCTGTAAAAATCACGCTTCTGTTTTTAACAATGAAAAATGTTAATTCTTTCTACAGTGAACACATATCACTTTGGAAATCAGGGAGAAGGGTTAAATGTGTAGAAAACATCACGCCACTGAACTCATGGTACTATAAGGATTTATTCTATTAAATAAAGTTAACTCCTCTCCATTTGCTCTTTTGGTAGGGGTGAAGAATCCTGTGGCCCATAGATTTTTATGGTGTTCTCCATCTTGCAGCATATTGAGGAGTTAATATTTTCAGGAAATCCATTTCTGCTGAAAGACTCACTTTTCTAGCCCCTCGTCAGCACACATTCCTTGCCGTAGTTATTCCTAGCAGATCTCTTCCCATAGTTGTTCATTGCAGACCCTGTGGGATAGTCACAGCTCAGTGTTTTCTTGAAGGGAGCAAACATCCCATATTCATTCCCTGTTTTAGATTATTGAGAGCTGATGGCTCAGAACCATGCAATTACTTATGCTTAAAACTGCGTTTCTGTCTCCCATCCTTCTATGCCAGTCTTACTGTTCTTTATTGCTGGCTGTGGCTCTTGGAAACCTTTAATCAATTTTGACTTAGAGTCTTCTTTCAGATTACCCTCTATGTCTATAATTATCACCCAAATTCTTATCTAGAATCCTCTTCTCTTTTACATACATGTATTCTTCATGTAGATTAGCAAGCATAATGCTTTAAAATTTATGTAGTTTATGCCTTTACATTACATCTATAGTCATTATAATCATAACATTTTGGAGCTATACACACAAAGGATCAGCACTGTAAAGCAGTTTTGACAGCAAATTGTCAGAATATATAAGAGAATCAGGTGGGCTCTTGCTCAATAAATGAATTTATTTATATTCCCTGCAACAATAAGCAATTCGCAACAGTCCAACACATAACAGTCTGTGGGCAGACCCCCTCCTCAGGGCACTGTGTAAGGTATGACAGAATGCTGGCCAAAAAGGCTCTTGAAGGGGCTGATAAACACTCGAGAGGATGAGTGTAAATGCCCAAGGGATGGGGTCTGCTTTTGGCTCTGAAGTGGGCCACATTGGTAAAATAGCAATTACTTGACAAATTAGATCCAGGCAGACAAAATGAATAATTCAACATCTCTCTCTTGTGGGGTTTTAGTGGTCGACATGTTCCCATTTGGTGATAATTATTCATCAAAGTAATCCCCACAATTAATAGGTTTTCATCTTTGCAAAATTCTCATATAGATCTGGCACATTTCTTGTTAGTTTTATTCCTCAGTACTTTACAGGTTTATTTTTGTTTGTTTCTTGGTTGTTTTGCTTATCTAGATGAAATCTGTTTTTCCATTATGTCTTCAATTTGGTTATTGATGGCATATAGGAAATCTGTTAGCTCGTATGTTGGTGTGATATCCAGTGACCTTATTGCTTTTGTATTAGTTATAATAAACTTTAAATTAACAAGGTTGAATTTGCATATAGGAAATCATTTATCTGCCAATAATAATCATTTGGCATAGTCCTTTCCACATGTAAGGCTCCTTTTTATCTTCTTGTCTTATGCATTGATGAAGACTTGTGGTACGATGTTGAATGTGGACCTCTTTGCCTTGTTCCTTGAGTGTAATGGGACCACTTCTAACTTTCTACTATTAAGCAAGGATGATTTATATTAATTCCTGGTAGATACTCTTGACCAAGATAAAGCAGTTTCCTTCTATCTTGATTTACTAATAGTTAATTTTTCTGTTAATCTGGAAAGCCTTTGAAATTTTTTAAAATATATTTTAGCATCTGTTGAGATGACAATGTTATTTTCCTCCTCCTTTAATATAAATACATAGAGAATTCCATTAATAGTTGTCCTAATGTTGAACCTCCTTGAATTCCTGGGATAAAGCCTACTTGATCATGATTTATTATTATGGAGTTTTTTATTTACTTAGCTTTGTAATCATTCTCCATTGAAAAATACTTATCGGGTGAGTATATCAAAATATGTAATGAACCATGAAGTTGTTTGAAATTGTAGCAGGGAATACAAATAGACTAGTTGGCTATACTGTTCGCTTTTTTTTCTGAATAATTCCTTTTCATGCAGACATGAGCAGTAGGATTTGATAGTAAAAGAGGAATGACTTCTTGCCAGTGTAGACCATATTTTCTCAGTAATTCATCTGATGTCTAACAATTGAGTAGCCATTATGGCTTATTTTGTATGTTTAAACAACTTGTTCAAGTTCACCCAAGTTGCAACAAGCAACACTTACTGACAAAACTCTTTTCTAAGTTTGTGGAAATTATTACAACCATGAAATTTCCTTGATTTCAATGTGTCACATTAATCTTTGCCCAGTAATCTCTCGTTGCAGAAGCTGTAGCTTTTTCTTCCATCAATCGTCAAGAGGAGTTAGTAAGGTGTAGCAGTGCAGAGCATGAACTTTCTGGTTTCACACCCCAGCTCTGCTGTTAACTGACTGTGAAAACCTTAATTCCTCAGTTTCGTCATTTTAAAAATGGGACTATTTAAAGTAGCTTATGGGTTATTATGAATATTAAATGAGTAAAGATAAAGCACGTAAGATTGTGCTCAGGGCGTAGTAAATATATATGTGTTAGCTGTGATTTTAAATAATCGAGTCAGAGTTGTTAATTTGGCAGGAGTTTTGTTACAGATACCAGTGTCTTATGATCGCACATGAATTTTCTTTTCTTATTATGATTCATGGAAACATATCCCATGTACAATTTGACTAGTCCTTTGCTCATTCAAGGCATTTCTGAAAATAGGCAGTTTTGTTTGGCTAAGTGTTGTTCCAATAAAAAATGGCTGGCCGATTTTCCCAAAATATTTTACATTTTGGAAAATTCAGAAGGATGAGTTTGAGACTGATTCTCAGAATAAGACAATCTATTTACTGATACAAAGAGAAAAATCATTGAACATTGCCACCTGTTGTCAACCAACACTGGAGTTGGAGAATATGAGTTAGGATTGGCAGGGGTGACTCCCACCTTTCCTCGCTCCCACTGGGGTTCTTCTGTGTGTTGACTAGGACAGTTAGCAATCAGCCAAAGTAACTTATAGAGGGGCTCCAGGGAAAGAGAGAGAGAAATTGTGTGCAGGCTCTGCTCCCAGACTACCTGGGTTCAAATCTGACCTTCACCAATGCTCACCAGCCGTTAGCCTTGGGTATGTTTCCCATGCCTCGGTTTTCTCATCTGTACAATGGTGATATTAACTCTCAGGGCTGAGGGGAGAATTTCAAGGGAAAATCCCTGTGCAGGACCAACATAGTACCCTGCACATGGGAAGTGCTCAATCAGTGATGTGTCATTTAGCATAAAGCATTAGTTATCAGTTCTCTTTGTTCTAGTCTGCAGGTCATCATATCTCCAGCTAGGCAGCATGTCATACATACATTGGCAGTGAGGGAGTTCACTGCTGTTTTTTAAAAAAACATTCAATGGTTTTTAGTATATTTACAGTATTCACAGATATGTGCAACCATCACCAGTCAATTTTAGAACATTTTGATCACTTCAAAAAGGAACCTTGTACCTTTTAGCTGTCACCTCCCTCCACACACACCCCATCCACCTAACTATCCCTAAGCAACCACTAATCTACTTTCTGTCTTTCTAGTTTTGCCTATTCTGGACATTTCATTTAAATTGAATCATACAATATTTCATCTTTTGTGACTGGCTTCTTTCATGTAGTTTAATGTTTTCAAGGTTCATCCATGTTGTAGCATGTATCAGTACTTCATTGTTTCTTATGGTTGAATAATATTCCACTGTATGGATACAGCACATTTGGTTTATCAATTCATCCATTGGTGGACACTTGGTTTTTTTTTTTTTTTAGGGAGATTAGCCCTGAGCTAACTATTGCCAATCTTCCTCTTTTTGCCGAGGAAGACTGGCCCTGAGCTAACATCCATGCCCATCTTCCTCGACTTTATATGTGGGACGCCTACCACAGCATGGCTTGCTGAGCAGTGCCATGTCTGCACCCGGGATCCGAACCGGCAAACCCCAGGCTGCCAAAGCGGAACGTGCGAACCTAACTGCTGTGCCACCAGCCAGCCCCTTGAGTTGTTTTTACCTTTTGGCTATTGGGAATAATGCTGTAATGAATGTTCATGTACAAGTTTTTGTGTGGACATATGTTTTCATTTCTCTTGGGTATGTGCTTAGGAGTGGAATTGTTGGTTCATATTCCATATGAGGAAGGAACTGTTTTCCACAGTGACTGTGCCATTTTACGTTCCCACCAGGAATGTAGGAAGGTTGCAATTTCTCCACGTCCTCACCAACGCTTATTATCTATCTTTTTGATTATAACCTTCCT